AATATTATGTGTGTGTATTATCAATGATATTGTTCTGTAATTTGAGCATTCTTTTGGGTCACCTTTCTTTGGAATTGGTAAACATAATGAATCTCTTATAGTCATTTGGCCAAGTAGCTGTCTTCCAAATTTCCTGCCATAGATGAGTGCTTCATCTGCTCTTTGAAATATTTCCATTGATATTGTATGAATTCCTGAAAAGTTGTTTTTGACTAATACTTTAGCTGCAGATTTAATATCTTCTTTTAGTATCATTTGTTCTTGCTCATATACTACCTCCTGAAATGGTGGAATGTTCACTAGTTATCTTTGGTCCAGTGACATTGTGTACTTGTTCCATCTACTTGATGAAACAGTGATGATGACTTCTTTGGTCAATATTTTGTTCATAGAAGATTCCAATATTGTAACTCATGGCTTAAATTCTCTTGTTAGTTATTTCAGTTTCAGATGTGCTGTTTGATACTCACTTTTTGTTTTTCTAATGTTTATCTTTGCATATTTCATCTTAATATTTTCATTTGTCTTCTTTAACCCTCCTTTGAAATTTTCTGTTCAGATCTTTGACTTCATAATTTATTCCATTTGTCTTATCTGCTCGATGATTAAGATCAAGTTTCAGAGTCACTTCTGACATCCACTTTGATTTTTTTTCTCTCTTGCCTGTCTTTTTTTGTTTTTTAATCATTTTATTAGGGGCTCATACAACTCTTATCACAATCCATACAAACATTAATTGGGTAAAGCGCCTTTGCGCATTCTCAAAACATTTGCTCTCCACCTAAGTCCCTGGCATCAGCTCCTCATTTTTCCCCTCCCTCCCCACTCCCCTCTCCCTCATGAACCCTTGATAATTTATACATTGTTATTTTGTCATATCTTGCCCTGTCCGTTGTCTCCCATCACCCACTTTTCTGTTGTCCATTCCACAGGGAGGATGCCACATGTAATCGGGTCCCCCTTTCCCACCCACCCTCCCTATAGCTTCCCAGTATCGCCACTCACACCACTGGTCCTGAAGGGATCATCCACCCTGGATTCCCTGTGTTTCTAGTTCCTATTTGTACCAGTGTACATCCTCTCGTCTAACCAGACTTGCAAGGTAGAATTCAGATCATGATAGTGGGGGAGGAAGAAGCATTTAGGAACTACAAGAAGGTTGTATGTTTCATCGTTGCTACATTGCACCCCGACTGGCTCATCTCCTCTCTAAGGGGATGTCCAGTGGCCTACAAATGGGCTTTGGGTCTGCACTCCGCACTCCCCCCCTCATTCACTATGATAAGAATCTTTCTTCTGATGATGCCTGATACCTGATCCCTTCGACACCTTGTGATCGTACAGGCTGGTGTGCTTCTTCCATGTGGGCTTTGTTGCTTCTGAGCTAGATGGCCGCTTGTTTACCTTCAAGCCTTTAAGAACCCAGACGCCTTGCCTGTCTTTTTAATGACCGTTTTCTTGATCCCTGAAGGCCTATACAGCTCATCAGGTCTTTCATTATTCATATTCAGCATATCAATCCTATTCTTGAGATATTCTTGAGATTCAGGTTGGATATACTCAGGTTGTAGTTTTCCTCTAGTGGACATGGATATTAGACTTTCTTTGTTCTTTGCTTGTTCTCTTAGATTGGAACTCAGATATTTGCCTTTAAACTTACTAGTTCGGGTTTACATCTATTCAATTCCAGTTCTCTGTTCTTTTAGAGTGTTATGTAATTCTGTTATTTAGTGTTCGACTTCTGGGTTTCTGTTTGGAGTATTTCTTGCAAGCTTGTAGTGAGATATTTAGATTTTCTATTCTTCCACTTGTTTTCTTTCAGACTCTTCCTTCATCTGTTGTATGCGTGCAGTCATTCTTCTGAATTATTTTTCTGTTAATTTCATAGCCTGTTCAATTTCAGGAATTTCCTTTAGGTCTGAATGTTCACTCATTTGTATGTGTGTGTATGCATCAATACTTTCTGATTTTTTCCTTGATATTTTGGTATAGGTTCTTGGTGTGGTAGAGAGGTTGGGTCGTGTAGGGATTGTTAACTTTCTAGAGTGGTGTAGTAGAGAACTAATAGGCTCTTCAGAACTGGTAGTAGGGAAGATGGATAGAGTAAAAATAGCGGAAAGATAAAAAGAATGGAAGGAAAAGTAATAGAGGAAAGAGAAAAATATCAAGTAGTGCTAATCCTTAAATTGTATTCTAAAAAAAGAAAGAAAAGAAATCTTTATTTTGAAAGGACAAAAGAAAGGGTAATACTAATAAGAAATAATTATAAGAGTATTACAAGCTTTTGTTTTGAAGAAAAGGAAAGGGAAGGATTAAGAGAAAAAGAGAAGGAAAAAATAAGAGCTGTTGGTTTGTGTTTGGGATCTAAACTCTGAACAGGAGCATTGCAGCTGGTGTGAGCAAGAGAAAGGCGTGTTTCCAGGAGAAGGTTGGTAAGCCTAGGTGGGTTGAGAACCTATGCTGGAAGCACAAAAGTTCAGGAGCAGTTCAGCAGTTAAAGCCAGTGCCTATGGGCAAGTAAGCGCACTTGGTTTGACTGGAATAACTTTAGGTTTTACAGTGGCCTGCAAGTGTGGGAGAGATGACTGGGGTAGTAGTATATGGAAAACCTTCTCAGAGTGTCCTGAGGCTGAGTGGATGTGGAGGGGGTGGGACTCATGCTTTTCAAGAGTTAGGGCTCTCTGAGAAGGGTCACGGAGAAGGTAACAGATGCATATACCATTTGCCGGGATGCACCAATGAAGAAGGGCAAGGGTTGAGTAGTTCCATGGGGCAAGATGTTTCTCTGAATGGCCTGAGGTTGACTTGGGTGGTCTAAATGAGATGCTGCCTGGGATATGGGAGTACTACTAACTTGAGGATTGTACAAGTGGTGGAAAAATATGGTTAATTTTTTAAAGTTGTACTGATTAAATATATTACAAGATTTTGTTTCAAAGAAAGGGAATAATTTCACTCTACTTATTAAACAAATAATTCTAAAAGCTGAGCTATATGAATAAGAATGTGGCAACAGGGTTGGAAGAAGGCTTATCATTAACAACCTTCAATATGTAGATGGCACAACTGTGCTTGCTGAAAGGGAGTAGGACGTGAAATACTTGTTGATGAAGATCAAAGATTGCAGTTATCAGTTTGGATTATAGCTCAGTGTAAAGAGAACCAAAATCCTCAAATGTGGACTGAAAGCTAATATCATGATAAATAAGAAAAGTTTTAACTTTTCAGGGTTTTAATTTTGTTTGCAATCACAATCAATTCTCACCGAAGCAGCGATGAAGAGATAAATATATTTCATTGAACAAATATGCTGCACTAGACCCCTGTAAAATATCTAAAAACAAAGATTATTACTTTGAGGACTAAGGTACTCCTGACCTAAGCCATGGCTATTTTAAATCACCTCATATGCAAGTGAATATTGGACATAGAATAAGGAAGACAGAAGAATTGATGCATTTGAATTGTTATTGACAAATAATATTGAAAATGCAATGGACTGCCAGAAGAACAAACAAATCTATCTTAGAATCAATAATCAGAATATTCCTTAGAAGAGAGATAGCTGTGGGAAGCAGTGAATGGGAAGAGAGTGTATATGGATGAATCCTTTATTTTCATCTATTAAGAAGCCTGGCAGGCAGGGTTTCTGGGGTGGGGTGATGTATTCACCCTTGTGAGTTGGAGGTGAGTCCCAATCATTCTCATAATTATTATTGTTCCCCACTATATCCTCCCATAATAGTGCTACCTCAGAAGTTACCTCTTACAAGCACATGGATGATTGCTATGTAGCTGGGAGCTTTTAACTATAGAACCAACATGTGCTATTGCTCTCTAGGCTCTGAAGAGAGCTCCCCCACCTTACCTGCCCTGGGCACTGGTATTAGTTCACTCTCCCAATATACTCAGGGGTTCTAATAATTTTGATTGTTGTTTGGCTTTCTTCCTCTTTCCGTTTTCTTTCTTTCTTTTTTCTTTTCTCTTTCAGCCTATCTGTTCGGTTTTTTTTCCCCTTTTTCATCTTTTTTAAAATTTTGTATGTCAGCGGCTCTATTGTTTGTTGGCTTGTCAGTGCTGCAGCCATCGTCGCCAGGTTCTTATGAGCCACTTTGGCGCTGTGCTGTCAAAGCCAATCCCAATTTTATTCACCATTGTTATGTCTGCACACCCACCTAGATAAGAGAAATTGGACAAAAAAAAACAAAAATATGAGAAGAAAATAAAGGGACCGATGGCCCTGGAGGGACATGGGAGTGTGGGAGGTAGGGGAAGGGAGGAGGGTTGGCCAACCTAGGGACAAGGGAACAACAAATGGTTCAAAACCAATGGCAGGGAGGGGATGGGAGGACTGGAAAAAAATAATTTTAAGCACCTATGTGCTTGAGTTGTTATGTAATTTCACCACTTTTAATGTTGAAAATTATATGTACTTTCATTATTGTACATTGAACAACCATCATATTTACCTCAATATTAAAAAGTAAGAGTCAGAAATATGTGTAACTTCTCGAGAGGATCTATATATGAAGGAATTAAAACTATTAAGAACTTCTCAGGCTTGAGATTTTTCAAGAAATCTTTCTGATATGAAGTGAATACACATAGGGAAATCCAAGACAGTCCAACTCAAAAGTGTTTTGAATCAGATCTAAGAATTTCATACCTAAGAAAAGAATTGTAATACTCATAGGAATCCCAGAGTATAGTATTTTAAACGTTATGTTTTTGCATACATCGCTTGCAAATGTATCATAAATAGGCATGCTTCCATTCCATGTAAATAATAACCATGGCACTTCATATTAATAGGCTTGGAAGTAATCATCGTGAGATATTTATTATCGGAGGGCAAATTTTAATTCTGCTTTAATCCAACATATTCCCTTTAAAAGTTGATGTGCCTAAATTTCCATGGGGCATTTGCATATTCACTAGGACAAATAGTTTCCTTTTTACCATTTTGATAAACCCTTTTCTTGCTCTTAATGCCCTATTAGATTAAATGCACAAAATCTTGAACAAATGGATGCCAGCGTAACCGAGGAGAATTTCCAGGCTGCAAACCATGCAGAACATGCTCTTCTTAAAATGGAGAACTATTTGAAAGAGAAACAACTGTGTGACGTGCTACTCATTGCTGGACACCTCCGCATACCAGCCCATCGGTAAGTGTCCTCTTGAAATCAGAATACTTGATGAGTATAACAAGTATATTTGAGAATCAGTGTGTGGTAGTCACCTAATCTGGCGTAAATTTAAGGATTAAGAGTGTAGGGGTGGAGTCTAGGCTGTCAAGCTGGAGATAGCCAATGAGACTTCTGTGGGCAAGTCCTTCTCCTGAGAATTCTGGGAAATCTGTTACTTCCTCCTTGGAGGCAGAAGACACCTATCTCTCTCGGTTCTCTCCCTTGAAGACTCTCTACTAACAAGGCATCCCTGAGGAGATGCCACATGGACCTACCCTGAGGCAGCCTTGAGAACTGGAATGGCCATGAGGAGACCCCTGCCAGTGCTGAGATGCTTCTACCACCAAAGACTTTCTACCCACTGGCCTGTGATCTTCTATATTTGGCATCATTGCATGTGTTTTGGGAGCCTGAGGAAGACTTTATACATTGTTGTCAGACGAATGGGCTTATGACCTTGGATTGGACTAGGTTGGGAGGTTCTAGTCCACCCAGACTAACACACAGTGTTTTATTCACTTATTTTATTAATAATAGTATTAATTAGTATATGAATTACAATTGGAAAATTTGGCAGGATATTTTTATCTTCCTATATTAGAATGAAGTATTGCATTGGGAAAATCTGTTGAACAAAGTGTTAGAGTGTTAGCATGTATGATCTTATTCTATGTTCAATATTTAGAAGACCCAAATTTGTAGAGTTTAATGAAGAAAAGACAGATAACATTGGGAAAACTCTCTAGAAGAAAGTTTACTAAATCGATCTTTCTAATTTCACGATACTTCATTAAATTGTGAAAGTTTTATGAAGAAAACAGACTCACTGGTAGTACAAGCTTGCTGAATGAATTCCATTCTTTTCAATGAGATTATGAATTCAGTTACATTCCTCTGAAACGTGTCTGTTTCCAGGTTGGTTCTCAGTTCAGTGTCTGATTATTTTGCTGCCATGTTTACTAACGATGTCCTTGAAGCCAAACAAAAAGAGATCAAGATTGAAGGAGTGGATCCATATGCACTTAATTCATTGGTGCAGTATGCTTACACAGGTAGGTTGGGCATGCATTAACTCATTCAAACCTCATAATAATCCTATATTATATAACTGATGTGGTTATTTTCACTTTCTAGATGAAAGATAGTTAAGTTCAATAACTTTGTTAAGGTGGGAAGATGTAGAATCAGGAATTAAACCCAATAATGTAAAAAAGAAATAGATAAGTAATGTACTATAAAATGATTTTGACCATGAGGGAAGAGAGCTATTTTAACAAAAAGTTATATGAATATGCTTCTCTGAAATGATGTGGGCACATTCTTGTTTGTTAAAAAGAAAAAAAAGAAAAGCAAGAGAAGTAGAAATGAGGTCTTCAATGTCTGCATAAGAAACTTATAGTACCTTCAATATCTTTTGTATTTAATAACAAACTAAGATTTACTCAAACTATAAAAGAAACCACTTGTCTATCAGTTTGTCGTACTGTGGTGGTTTACATGTTGTGGTGGTGTTATCAATTATGTCATCAGTATTTCAAATACCAGCAGAGTAATCAAGTTTCAAAAATAAGAATTATAAAGGATTAGGTTGCCCACTTCTGAGAAATTAGCAACTGAAAATGTTATGAATATCAGCAGAACATGATCAAATGCTGATAACCTCTTGAATAGCAGTAGAACACTCAGATATAATGCCATAAGATGAGCCTCTCAAGTTAGAAGGCACTCAAAATATGACCAAAGAAGATCTGCCTTTGTGAAATAGTATAGACCATAATGTGTGGATAGAGTACAACTTTCAGGAATTTCAAATGCTGATAGAGCAAGACATAAAATGAGAAGAAACTGCTGCAAACACTTATTAATAACCAGAACTTGGAATATACAAAATATAAACTGAATAAAACCATACATTTTCAAAGATTAAATTGAATGCATAAAATTGATATTCTAGGCATTACTGAGTTATAATGGATTGTTATTGGACATTTTGAGGCAGACAGTCACATAATTTACTATGCCAGAAATGACAAATTCAAGAGGAGCGTTGGCGCACTTATTATCCAAAATGACAATACAATGTATATCTTGAAGTACAATGCTATTTGTGATGGGAGACTACATATATATACCTGAAATTCAGTTAATACAGTTATTCAAATGTATGAACCCACCACTAAAGCTAGTGATGAAGAATTTTAAGAATTATACCAAATTTTCAGTTAGAAATGGATCAAACATACATTCAAAATGCATTGATAATGATTGGCAATTGGAACACAAAAGTTGAAAATAAGAAGGAACAGTAGTTGGAAAATAGGGCCTTGGTGAGAAAAATAAAGCTAGTGATAACACGATAGAATTTTGCAAGAACAACGACTTTGTTGCAAATACCTTCATTTCAACAACATGAATGTGAACAATACACATAAACTTCTCCAGATGGACTGCACAGAAAACTCATTAACTACATCTGTAGGAAGAGACCATGGTGAAGCTCAATAGCAGCAACCAAAAGAATCCAGGGATGATTGTGGAACAGACTATCAATAGCTCATATATGTAAGTTGAAGAAAAATAAAACAAGTCCACTATAGCCTTGTGCTGGCTGATGATACTGAGCTTCTCTATTATCTCTTTCCTCAGGTGGAGTTGTTTTGATTCCTGTGTTTCCCTTCCATGGAGGTCCATATGTATAGTCACCATTTATATTTTTGGAAAATGTATTTGCAATGAATAAGTCATTAGTCTTGCAAAATTCTATTATGCGATCTCCAGCATTGTTTCTGTCAAGAAGTCCATATTTTTAAGCTATTGATCCATTTTCATGTTTCCTGATCACATTCCAATAACTAGTAATTGTCAATGAATCTTAATTTCCTTTTTTGATAAATTTCAGAGTGCAAATTTGAGGGAAAAAACCTTTCATATTTTCATCTTCTGCATTAGTGTTGGTACACAAAATTGAATAGTATGTGAATTAATTTGTATTACTTACAGATGTATGAATTTTATCCTGTCACAGCATTGAACTTTAGGAGAAATCTTGAGGTGTTCTTTTTGATGATAAATGCAATGCCATTTCATCTCAAATTGTAGACCACATGATTATCTACTTTAAAATGGCCAATCTCAGTCCATTTCAGCTTACTAATGCCTAGGAAATGTATTGCATTTCATTTTTTGACAACTTCAGATTTTTCGCTAGATTCATGTTTCATACATTCCCCCCATTCTTTTTTAGCTGTTTCTTCTCACTTTGAGTCATGTGTCATCATCAAATAAGGAAAGCTTTGCTCCATCTGCATCATTCAGATTGACTCTTTGGAGGATGTGGCTCTTCCTCAGTTATATTTTGAGTGCCTGTCACCTAAACGACTCATTTCCCAATACTATGGGACACAGTGGTGCAAAAAAGGGCCCAGGCATAGGAACGATTGGGAGCATGGTACAGGACTGAGTAGTGCTTCATTCTGTTGTGTATGGGGTCACTATGGGTCAGAACTTGGTACCTAACAACATGTTAAACAGTGTTCTGCTGCAATTAGTAAGGTTTTTAATGACCAGGTTTTTTGGTTGGTGATTTTAAGTTGATATGTAGGTTTTCTTCCTAGTCTTACCTTAACCTGGAAACTCCTCTGAAACTTGTTCATCATGTTTGACCCAATTACTATTTGAAATAATGCTGACATAGCTTCATTCATCATAGCAACAGGCAAGTCACCATAGTTTGACAAACTGATAGATGCATGGTGATCTTAAATTAGAAATGTTCAACCTACTTCCTTATATCATAAGTCATAATAAAACTTTCCTAAATATTCCATAAAACTTTCTTTTATATTTTAAAAAACTTCCATGGATTTTATTCTCTTTACATAATGCATTTCAATCTAGACCTTTAAGTAATCTTTTTGTTCCCAATGAACCTCTTTTACTAATCACATGTATACCAAGATAACTTGGTCAAATGTCTAGTTTTTTTCCTCTTTAATGAGGTAAAGCCACAGTTGGTTTCAAGCAGCTTTAAAAAAGTATTTTCATAATTTAATACACTATATTATGATGTTTTGTGTGTATCCTAAGATCTATAATTGAAGTGTTATTATTAATGACTATTCTTCTATTACTAGGCCAAATTTCAGTGTCTTAAGTAGGTGAGTGTTTAGATCTGAATCTGTGAATAGTTCATACTTCTGTGGGTTTTATGCGGTATGGACAAGAATCTTCCTACACAAGGACCAGAAACAACGGACATGTCTGATGTTGGATTGGTTTGACTCTTTACAATAAATTTTACGGGTTGAAATATATATAGAACATATCACAGTATGTATTACTACTTTCTGTATGATTATACAACCATCTAGGATCTTATTAGTTATTTTACAACTCAGGAATGTGAATAATTCTCATAAGCAATGTGAAATGTCATATGTAATATTGTGTAAATAATAAAAGCAAAACTATCTTATAGAAATCACTTTATCTAGATAAAATAACTGCTCTAAAATAACACCGCTAGGAAATAGAGGAAAGAACTATGAGGCAAAAGACATTTATAGAGGTATAAATAAATGCATGCACATATGTAAATATATTAATATATAATGATAGGGATATAGATCTTTGTACATATGAACATTGAGCCGCTACTCAAGTACTCCCTCAATGCAAGAAAACTTTGTTCTAATAACCTGGCATTCTGTGATGCTCACCTTCCTGACACAATCATTGAAGACAAAATGGGTGCAGAAACAAATATGCTGAAGAAAGCTGATGGTGTCTGGCTATTAAAAGATATATTATCTGGGGCTTTAAGGGCTTGAAGTTAAACAACCGGCCATCTAGCTGGGAAGCAGTAAAGGCCACGTGGAAGAAGCACACTAGCTGTGTGATCACGAGGTGCTGATGGGATTAGGTATCAGGCATCAGAAGACCCAAAACAAACAACCCACATATATGTGAATGAGGGGGGTCAGAGTGAAAACCCAAAGCCTATCGAAGATGATTGGACATCCCCTAACAGAAGGGTCACAAGGAAGGGACAAATCAGCAAGGATACACTATAGCACCAAAGAGACACACAGTATTCCTCTCTAGTTCTTTAATGTCCTCCCCCACTATCATGACCCCAGTTTTACTTTACAAATCTGGCTATACACTGGTACATGTAAGAGCTCTTGACACATGGAATCCAGGACAGATAAACCCCTAAGGAACAACAATGGGAGTAGCAATACCACAAGGGTAGAGAGAAGGTTGGGGGAGAAATTGGCAACTGATCACAATGATCAACATATTACACACACACACCCACGAGACAACAACAGAAACCTGGGTGAAGGGAAACAGCATATGGTGGAAGATATGAAAATAATAATAATTTATAATTTATCAAGGGATCATAAGGGGGGAGGGAGGGAAAAAGAGGAGCTGATACCAAGAGCTCAAGTAAAAAGAAAATGATGGCAACATATGTACAAATGTGATTGATACAATTAATGTATGGATTGTTTTAAGATCTGTAAGAACCCTCAGTAAAATTATTTATTAAAAAAGAAAGAATAATAATAACAGCAATGCAATTATACTAGTGTAAAATGAACAACTTAAATGAATTCTGGTCCTTTGAAAAAACATTTACAGATTTTTTTTAAACTTTAAAGAGCCTGGTTCTTAACGTGTAATAAAATAATATAAACAATCCTTCATTTGTAGACTCTTGAACACTCTTTCTTCCTTTAGAAGTACCAGAGGTCAATTCCAAGTTTAATAATTTTGCAAAGACATAATACCAGCTAATATATCTAGATGGTAAAATAGACTTATAAGCTCAGTGCTATTCTTATAGCTATTCTTGTAACCCAAGATGTTTAGTGCCTCTCAAATCACAGTTTCTTTTGTGATTCTTATATGAGTTATAATGTCGAAAGTTTTTCATATGAGATATGACTGCTGTTGTACCTTAATGTTCGTTGTTTATTTCCTACAGTTTCAAATAATCTAGTTGCTTTTGTAGTGTTTATAGACAGACATCCATATGTAAATCAGTTTTAAAAGGTTTCCTAATAGAAGGTGTTATACTCTGTAAAATCTACTTCTGTTAGAGAAAGAAGTTGAAAAATGCAACTAGTTAGCATATTTGTGTCTTATTTTAGGGAACATATGTTCTTACTTTACTTTTTCAAACCATCTAGGTCACCTGCAATTGAATGAGGAAACTATTGAAAATTTGCTAGCTGCAGCTTGTCTCCTGCAGCTGCCTCCAGTCATTGATGTCTGCAGCAGTTTTCTCATGAAGCAGCTCCATCCTTCAAACTGCTTAGGAATTCGGTTCTTTGGTGATGCCCAGGGCTGCACAGAGCTCCTGAAGGTGGCACATAGATATACAATGGTAAAATAAGTTGCTTTAAATTGCCTTGTAGTAATAGAGTATTAATAGTATTTCTAACTTGCTGAATATTGAATATATGTAAGATTAAGTTGAGAATAAAATATTGCCAAAATAATAGAAACCGTATTGCCAAAAATAATAGAAACCTTTAATAAAAATTGGACTAAAAAGTGAAACTATTGTATCTCAGTACATCCTCCTTCTATGCCTATTTGCTTCTAAAGGCAGTGTTTTATTTCTCTAACCCTTCCTTAAAGGGTTCTTTATTTTACAAGATGTCAACACAACAGTTTGGGTACCCTCAAATGACTCAAATTGTGGTATTTTGGAAGGCTTTTTGAGTTTTGAGGAAAACTTTTTTTTAAAAGTCTGAATGGACAAGATCAGGTCTGTAGGGTAGATGGCATAAACTTTATGCCATAAAGTTTCCCAAAATAACTTTTGTACGACAGGCTTTGCTACCCTTGAGGAATGAGTGGGTGCATTTTTGTTATGTAAAAACATTCCCTGGCACAATTTTTATGGCTTTTTCTCATCAACGCAGTTTCCTATTTTCTCAAAACATTCATAATAATACCCCATGATCATCTGTGTTGTTCAAAAGAATATACCAATATTGTCCATTGGGAATCTCAAAATACAGCCACTATAACTTCTGAGATGAACTCTCTGCCTTGAATTCAACTGGCCCAGCACTTCCCCTCTGAAACATGTTTTGATTGGGAAGGAACCCTGTTGAGACTAGAACTTATATGTAGCTATCCACTAATTGCAGAGACTTACTTAAACATATTTCGTTTGGAGTAAACACACACACAAGTGAACTTGTAACCTAATAAGCAACACTTTCTGACTTACCCTCATATTTGACAAATATTTAGAGTTAACATATATGCAATAAATATACAGATAGCAAATATACAATTAATAGCTATAGAGAAAAAATATAGTCTATCTATATATATCTAATAAATATAGCCTATCAATATATAAAAGGCCCTGGTGCTGTTGTTGGGCAAGCATTAGATTGCTTATTGCAAAGTTGACAATTCCAACTCATTAGCTACTGAGTGGTAGAAAGATGAAGCAATTTGCCTTTAAAGTTTTACAATCTAGGGAACCCTATGTAGGGTATCTATGAGTCAAAATTAATTTGATGGCACTGGGTTTGTTTTGTTTTTATATAAATATAAATAAATATATTTAAGGTGTATTCTACATAAATATATATGTATACATATATGGGGTAAGGACTAAATAGCTACTAGGTTTCCAATTCATGCACACATGGATTTATTCCAAACAAAACATGTTTAAACATGTAATTCTGAAAGTTTCTCTCAGTAATTACTCACCTTATTCTCACTAAGGTTCCTTAAGAAATAAGGATACTGTTTTGCTATGGGGGGGAAAATGATTTTGAGATCATGGTTTAGATCAAATTTTTAGCAAAGTTCAAATGGACAGCTTCTCAAAACATTGAAGTTTTGCAACCATAGTTTTAATTTTTTTAATGTTAGCAGTTTTATTCACATAGAATACACATATCATGCAATTCAATGGTTAAATTATATTATAGATTAAACTTTTTAAGAAAGGTTGGTAAGACTTCAAAGATCATCACAACTGCGCACCTGCTTATTGTTGGAGGGTTTTAAATGCTGCTTATGAAAATATTGTTGGAAAACCTTACTACATCCACCCTATAGCCTTAATCTTGACCCTTCAGGCTTCTTAAGTTTTTTCCCAAAACTCAGATAACATTTCAAAGTAATAAGACTTGAGTTGCTTCAGGATACCAAAACTGCTCTTTTGTCATGGTTCAAATTAAAGAAAATAGACTTTTGTGGAACAGGCTTGCAAGAAACAAACTCACTGCCACACAGTAATTTCTGACTCATAGTGACCCTGAATGGCATGATAGAACTGTGGGTTTCTAAGACTATAAATCTTTATGGGAATAAGCCTCATCTTTATCCCATGGAGCAGCTGGAGAATTTGAACTGCTAACTTTACCCTTAGCAACCCAGGACTCTGCCATCAGGACTCTTTGAGGTAAAGCTTTAAGAGAGAGAAACTCTGCCTTTCGAAGGGTGGAGAGACCTACAGGGAGGATTATGTCAATAAATAATAGCTTCACATTTTGATATTTTTAAAATAATAGTTTGTATGATTTAGTAGCAATAATTTTTCTACTTACCGTCACTTACACATTATGTGTTAAGTATATACGTTTATATAAAATTATGTTCATATATACTTTTAAAGTTAAGAATACATGTGCCGTGAATATGTTTTTTATTTAAATATATGTATATATCATATATGGGGGCATGACATTAGGATAAGATGAATAAGCAATATAAACTTATATAACCTAATAAATGACTTGCATATACTTTGGATACTAATGTGTTTATACTTGATTTCTACTGAAGTTTCTCATTTTTGGCATTAATATGTTTAATTACATCTGAAATCCTATATTTATAGCTACAGAAAATGAAAATTTTTGTCAAAAATTAAATTGTAAAATTTATATTTCAATTTGAATTCATATTAAAATATTAATTCCATGATTTTTGAATTGTTAACACTTCAATTTGCAAAATTGTACTAATTATGATTCCTAAGAGTAGTGAAGTATTATTCATTAAAAAACAATAAATTATTAATATATTGATGTTAACTTGAAGAGCTTAAGAACTACCAAAATGATTAAAGGGATTAAATATTAATAAGTATATTCAAGTAGTAATACAATGACAGTTTAAGCTTTAATTGACACTTATTAAAACTTAACTTAATTTCATAGTTATTGTTGGCATAGTGGTTACGAGTTGGGCTGCTAACCATAAGGTCCACAGTTCTAAACCACCAGTTGCTCTATGGGAAAAAGACAGGGCTTTCTACTCCCTTAAGGAGTTACACTCCCAGATTCAGAGGGGCAGTTCTACCATGTCCTATAGGGTGTCTAAGCTTGGTTGGTTTTAAAAGATACTGAGTGGGTATTGACTCCTAATAACTTTGTGCAACAGATGGAAACACTGCCCAATCCTGTACTAACTTCACAATTGTCATTATGATTAAGCCCATTGTTGTAGCCACAGTGTTAATCCATCTCCTTGAAGGACTTCCTCTTTTTTGCTCACCCTACACTTGAACTAAAAAGAACTAGTCCTCATATTCATTCAGTCATTTCAAGAACTATTCATTCATATCATCAAAAACTAATGCTATTGAAGGAAGAAGTCCATGCTATACTGAAGGAATTAGCCAGAATCAGGAATTGACGGAATGCCAATAGAAATGTTTCCATAAACTGATAAAGTGCTGCAAGTATTCACTCCTCCATGCCAGGAAATTTGGCAAGTTGACTAGAAGAGGTCCATATCTGTACCCATTCCAAATAACATGCAAATTGTAGAATGCACAAATTATTTCAACGATAACACATAAAAGCAAAATGTGGTTAAAGAGCATGAAACAACAGTTATAGCAATGCATTTGCAGGGAGCTATCAGAAATTTAAGCCAGATTAAGATGTGGTTCAAAGGATCTCATTGCTGATGTCAGATGAATCTCTTGGCAGAAAGCAGAGAATGCCAGAAAGATATGTTGCTTGTATTTTATTGACTATCCAAAGGCCTGTGTGGACCATAGCAAACTATGGATAGCCTTAAGAAGAAGGGCATTCCAAAACACTTCATAATGCTCACATGGAACCTGTACATGGGTTAAGAGGTGCTTTTGCAGATAGAATAGGAGAATATCACATGGTTTAAAATCAAGAAAAAAGTTCATCAAGGTTCGATCCTCTCACCAGATTTATTCAATCTGTATGCTGAGCAAATAAACCAAGAAACTGGATTATAATGAAGAAAAATGTAGTATCAGGGTTGGAGGAAGGATTTTATTAACAACCTTCAATATGCAAATAACACAACCTTGTTGGCGAAATTGAGCAGGACTTTAAGCACTTGATGAAGATCAAGGAACGCAGCCTTCAGAATGTATTACAAATCAATGCAAAGAAGACAAAGATTCTAACGAGTGGATCAGTAAGTTACATCATGGTAAACGGAGAAAAGATTGAATTTGTCAAGGATCTTGTCTTGCTTGGATCCACAATCAATCAAATGCTCATGGAAACAGAAGATCGAACAACACTTTGCATTGGGTAAATCTGCCATGCAAGACCATTTTAAAGTGTCAAAACACAAGCACGTTACTTTGAGAACTAAGGTGAACCTGATCCAAGCCATGGTATTTTTTACTACCTCATAGGCATGTGAAAGTTGGGCACTGAATAAGGAATACCTAAGAAGAATTGATGCATTTTGAATTTTGGTGCTGGCAAAGAATATTGAAAGTACCATGGACTGCCAAATAAACAACTCTTTCTTAGAAGTACAGCCAGACTACTTCTTAGAGCCAAGGATGGCAAGACTTTATCTCATATCTTTGGGCATGTTATCAGAAGAGATCAGTCCTTAGAAAAGAAAACCATGCTTGATAAAGTAGAAGGGAAGTGAAAACAAGGAAGACACTCAACAAGATGGATTGATACCATGTTTGCAACAATGGCATCAAACACAAGAATCATTGTGAGGATTGCATAGGATCGATGATTTCTCAACTGTTTGACATAGGGTCACTATGGGTAAGAACGGACTGTTGGCACTAACAACAACATAGTTTACCAGACATATTGTCCTTTACCAGGAATCAATGTATTTTTTGTTTTCTGTATATTTAGTTAAAATTTCATACTGAAATCTTTTCTCTTCATCAAAAAGTAACCAAGCCTTCTGAGTTAGTTAGTTTATTGTGCCAACCTGGCCGATAAACACATGTAGGGTTAATTGAAGGGCAGAGAGATAAATGGCTTGGTGAGCCTTGCTTTTCTAGTTCCTGGGTCTCTTGCTTTGTGATGGTTGAACCAGGGTACAGCTGTCTTAGCCAGTTCCCTGCTTCAGCTGGCAAGATTCACTTCCTGCAAGAAATCTCTGAGGAGAAGCCACATGAACCTACCCCGATGCAGCCCTGGGTGCTGGAGCAGCTGTGTGGAGACCCCTGCCAGTGCTGAGATGCTTACACATTCACTGATTCGACTTTCCTCCTGAAGTTGGCGTTATAGTGTGTGTTTTGTGAGATGGATGAAGACTTTGTGGATTGGTGTCGGACATATGGGTTAATGGTTTAATGTAGGACTTGTGGGCTTGGGCAGCACTGGGTTGGGATGTTTTCTTGATGTGCATTTAACCTTTATCTAAAACTCTCTCTTATACATGAATTTCTGTGGATTTCTTTCTCTAAAGTACCCAGACTAGCACACCTTCCCTGCTTTCGTGAAGCAAGTTTGTCTTGTGTGCATATTGTCAGTTAATGAGCCTTCCTCCAAGCCTGATACCTCAATCCTTTTCATCTAATTCAGCTTCTTGAATATTTGTGCAGCATCCAGATTTAATAATTGTGGTAAAAAAAAAACCACACACAGCCCTGATGCTCACCTTTCTTGATTTTAAACTGTGCAGTATCCCCTTGTTTTATTCAAGCAACTGCCTCTTGGTCTGTATATAACTTCTGCATGAGCACATTGAAGTGTTCTGGAGTTCTTATTCCTCTCAATGTTATCCATAGTTGGTTATGATCCACACCATGGAATTCCTTTGCATAGACAATAAAACACAAATAAGCATCTTTCTGCAATTCTTTGCTTTTCAGTCAAGATCCGACATCAGCATTTTCATTAGTAATTATAATAAATAAGCATGTATGTATGCAGTAATTCTTTTAAAATTGCATAGCATAAGACCTTTTCTTCAGTCAAGTGATTGAAAGTCAGTAAGGAAAACGAGACAAGGTGATATTAAGTAAATTCTGTTATAAATCCTAATATTTCCCTGATGTAAATAGTAAAGTGAGTTTTTAAATCTCTGAAGCTTAGGAAAACACAACAGGCCAATATTTCTGTGAAACAAATGATATGTAATTATTTAAAACTAATAAAATTGCTCCACTGACATTTTAAGATTAAAAAACTCAAAGTAAATACACACAAATAAATAATAAAGAATCATACCTACAAATGAAAAGTAAAACCATCCTTACAGTTTTGGAGTTGAGATGCATTTAAGTAATGAGTGTTTTTTTCTAGTGTTTTATACAGAATGTAAAATTGTCAAATATTTAAATTTTGAATTTTCTGGAAATTTATTGTGAAACTCCCCTTCTGCTCCTACACATCTTAATTTCATTGTTCAATTTAGAACTTCTAAAATTATTTTTTATTTGTATTTTTAAAATAATTTTATTGGGGGCTCATACAACTCATCACAACCCATACATATATCAATTGTGTTAAGCACATTTGTACATTCATTGCCTTCATCATTCTCAAAATATTTGCTCTCCACTTAAGCCCTTGGTATCAGTTCTTCATTTTTAACCCCTCCCTCCCCACTCCTCCTTCCCTCATGAACCCTTGATAATTTATAAATTATTATTATTTTGTCATGTCTTACACTGTCTGACATGTCCCTTCACCCACTTTTCTGTTGTCCATCCCCCAGAGAGGAGGTCACATGTAGATCCTTGTAATCGAGTCCCCCTCCCTCCCTCTACCCTCCTGGTATCGTCACTCTCACCACTGGTCCAGAAGGAATAATCCGTCCTGGATTCCCTATGTTTCCAGTTCCTATTTGTACCAGTGTACATCTTCTGGTCTAACCGGATTTCTAAGGTAAAATTGGGATCATGATAGTGAAGGGGAGGAAGCATTTGAGAATTAGAGAAAATTTGTACGTTTCATAGTTACTACACTGCACGCTGACTGGCTCTTCTCCTTCCCGCAACCCTTCTATAAGGGAGTATCTGTTACCTACAGATGGGATTTGGGTTTCCACTCTACTCCCCCTCATTTACAATGATATGATTTTTTTTGTTCTTTGATGCCTGATACCTGATCCCTTCGACACCTCGTGATCACAGACTGGTGCGCTTCTTCCATGTGGGCTTTATTGCTTCTGAGCTAGATGGCCATTTGTTTATCTTCAAGCCTTTAAGACCTCAGATGCTATATCTTTTGATAGCCGGGCACCATCTGCTTACTTCACCACATTTGCTTATGTACCCATTTGTCTTCAGCGATCGTGTTTGGAAGGTGTGTATTAAGGAATGCCAATTTAAAAAACAAAGTGTTCTTGCTTTGAGTAAGTACTTGAGTGGAGGTCCAGTGTCCATCTGCTGCCTTAATACTAAACCTATAAATATATGCATATAGATCTATTTTCCCATCATCCTACATAAATATATTTACATATGTACATACCTGTATTTAGACCTCTATAAATGCTCCTTGCCTCCTAGTGCTTTTCTCTATTTCCCTTTACTTTCCTCTTGTCCCACTATCATGCTCAGCCTTCATTTGGGTTTCAGTAATTTTCCTTGGTTACATTGTCCTTGCTGAATCCCTGCCAGGCCTCTCACACTCTCCTTGCCACTAGTTTCGGATTACTTGTTGATCTCTTGTCTCTGAGTGGGTCAACACCACCTCCTTTCCCCCACTTCCCCCTCTCCTATGTCCCCCCAGAACCATCTGTCCCATTGTTTTCTCCTCCAGACTGTTCATCCAGCCTATCTTATCTAGATAGACCTGCAGAGATAATAATATGCACACAAAAACAAGGCATAGCAACGCAAAGTGACAAAAGAGAACCCAGTGACAACAACAAAAGCATGTCATTCAATTATTCCATTGATATCACTGTGTCAAATATAGATGTCATATAATCTAAAGGACTAGCAGTTATATCAAAGATTAATTCTGCCACGAAAGCCAAGCCTGACGACTTCCTGTTAAATTACTGAAATCTTAAACTAAGTATTAACAGTTTCCTGACTGGGGTTTTCCTCTAGCAGACATAGAAAACATTCTGATACGCAGCTTGAATTACTTTTGTAGCTCAAAATGAACTTGTCTTTCTTCTCTGTCATGTGGGGGGGGGGGGAAACCTGTTCACATACGACATATATAAAAATGCAGTATTTATTTTCCCCTCTTTAGTTATTTTAACATATCCAGTCAGTCAACTTCTTGTTATAAAAATCTTATTAAAAAGTTCATGTCTAAGAAAAATATTAAATGCTTTTAGATATTATACTATAGTCATTTAAATAGTGGTCTAAATCAATGAAGCCTTCAATAAGTAGACTATACTCATTGAATTGATCTTATATGAGGAATAAAAATTATTTAAAAGTCCATGGAACAAACTAAGACTTTATAAAGAAGTATACAAAGTATTTTCCTTGAGATTAGAGCAAAATAACCCCAAAGTAAAAATATTTAAAATTAATTTTAAGCAAACAATTATTTTTCTGCAATGCTAGATACTATATACAGCACTGCAGGACTATATATAGATATTTTCAGCTAATAAATTGATTTTTTTATTTAGACTAATATACTTGATTTCACTGTAATTTTCAGCCCCACAGATATGGACTCTGCATTGTAACAGATTAATTCAGACTATCTAAATTCTAGTTTTATAATACTATGACCCTAATATCAGCCATTTTTAGTCATTTCCTAACTCTTCTAATTATAGAAGCAAATTTTAATGGATTGTATTATGATCCACATTAGCCTTTGATTGGATTTTATGAACCAAGTATCTTCCTACATTCTCCCTTTCTGTCTGTAATTTTTTTTCTTTTCTTTTCTCCCTTTAGCTCACTTTGTTTTTATTTTTTATTATTTCATTGGGGAATAGATAGAAATGATAGTGTGTGCTATTACCTATTGATAATATAAATGGATATACTGGCTTCTCTACTCTTTTCTTGAAGTTTAATTTACTCAAATGCTATGATTAGTTCATATTGGCAAGACATTTCTGAAGTGCCACGTCTCAGTAGAAAGCCTTTCTTTTCTAGGAACACTTCACGGAGGTGATAAAGAATCAAGAATTCCTTCTGCTTCCACCTAATGAAATTGCAAAACTTCTGTGCAGTGATGATATTAATGTACCCAATGAAGAAACAATTATGAATGCTCTAATGCAGTGGGTGGGACATGATGTGGAGGCTAGGCAACAAGACCTGGCAATGCTGCTTTCTTACATCAGACTACCATTACTCTCACCTCAGGTATGGAAATTAACCCAGATAAATTAAACCATAGTGCTAAACCACCACTATGTGCTAATCCACATCCTTGTCTTATTTTATTCACAAGATTAGTCATTGAAGTCAGTTGGATCAAACTTTAAATTAGTGGTATTGTTGGGGAGAGAGGAAGTATGGCTTTTTAAAACTACATATAACCCTTAAATTCATAATATTCATAATAGCTTTAGTTTCATTTTCTTTTTTTTTACCAAATAGCATTTATTACAAACAGAAAAGGACTAACTCTTTGTCTTCCCCTTCCCACCTTCGAAACAAAATGTCATAATTAATAAGCCCCCTAGAGTTGATTCTAGGAAGGAGTCAGATCCAGGATAATATCAACTTCTATAATATGAATATACAGTAAGACCATGGGTTAAAACGTCACACTTACAAATAACTTGTATCTTTCCCTTAGTGCTATGTAATGTTTCCCTCACTTTGAAACAATTGATTTTTTTTTCTTGCAACAAATTCTTCATCACAATTGCCTTTACTTGCTGCATGTGCAGCTTTTAAACCATTGAAAATGCTTCCAGCATTTTCTTGCCCTAAAGTAAGACCAAATCAGAACCGTATGTACTTATTCCAACTTACCTATAAATTTGACTTAAAGACATACTTCAGAATGGATCTCATTAATAACCCAGGGATTGTTCATACTGCACATATGTATTTTATATTTATTGATCCTGGTTAAACATTATCCACATCAGGAAAAGAAGATTCAGTGTAACAGGTCCGTTTTTCCATATACATTAAAATTAATGATGTTGTCAATAGCAATTCTACTTAAAAATTCATGCTGAAAATAGTTAATTGTCTTACTGTTTCTCCTATGTTTTCATATTTATTTTGTTCCTAAGGAGCTATATGTAACCAAAGATCATAGCCTTTACCATAGGTGAAGCATATTGACAAAGTTCAAAGCAATAGTAATACCAAAAAGAAAATCGCTAACGTGTAATTTTAAACCTGAAGTTCTAAAGCTGGAATTGATGGATAACATGCAAAAATCTCTAGCAATCTACATGTGCGTGTGCATTTATATGTACATTTTTGGAAGAGGATCTGTGAGATTTGTCAAATACTCTTTAAGTTGATGCTATTTATTATGTTCCTAAACGATCTGCATCACTCTTACCCAGCAGCGTGTTACAGATGTACTTTCTCAGGCCCTGTGAGATGAGTATTGAGTTGCGAATTGCTGGTGCTCCAAGGGAGAAAGATGAGGTTTTCTGCCCCTGGAAACCCTGTCTTGGGTCACTGTGCATCAAAATTGACTTGATGACAGTGAGTGGGCTCCCAGTACTACTGAAACAGTGTTTTAGATGAAGCCAAGTAATAACTGTTTTAACGAGTTTCCAGATGATTCTTAAACATGCTAAAGGTTGAGATACACTGGTGTAAGCCTTTATTATGTAATGTTGTGTGACTAGTCATCTGTACCACGGAACATATTCAAGGGATCAGCGGTTCTTAAATTTACATTACTTTAAGTCTATCTTACATTCCTTCAGAAAAATGTTTCATTTGAATTCTGCTTACCTTTTTGGAGTAAAAGGGAGATTTCTAGGTCAAACACAACCAGTGATGTCTTGGCATTATAATACTATGACTGTGCCTTATGCTATGAATGTGGATTGTGTGATGACAATAGTGGTGGATAATGACATACAGAATATATAGATTTTTCTCAAAAAAATTTCTGCGACAAACAAAATTTAATTAATAAACTACATAGAGGACAGAGTTATCAGTGTGAAGAATACATTTGAGAGAAAAAATACATTACATAGCTTAGTTCTTAAACCAATTTCCAGTGTACATGTATTCAGAAAATCCATGAAGCATCATCAGCTGAGTCAAAGTACTGATCCATGACCACTGGGAAGATAACAGAATTGGGTTTAACCAGTGCAGAGCAGAAAACGTCAGCGAAGTTTTATGGCGTGAGATTAGCATCTCCATGCTCTTCTTCCTCTATGTTATGTGATATATAGGACCAATACACAAATACAAGAAAACAGTCCAATTGACCCTTTAAAAGGGGAAGCTGATGTTTTGAAACTGATTGTGTTAGCAATTGTACAATATTGCTTGATGGGATAGAACTATAGAATGATATGGCATCTGTATTAGCTCCCAATAAAATGGTTTTGAATAATATATACATTCATTAGGAAATAAAATAAAATTACATGACCTCTCCCCAAACCCTCTGAGAAAAATATCATACGTGTCTTTTATTCTGTTCAGTTAAAATTTTATTTTCTGCTAGGAAATGATAGAAAAGATTGATCCTTTGCTTTGGCTGCTAGGTTGGCTAGTTATTAATGCATATATCTTAACTCAGTTAAAATCCATCTACATTCACAGTACCCTAAGCATATGATTTAATGATAGAAGATAGATTCTATGGATTACATTATTTTAATTGGGCATGTTTGGACCAGTGGAAAAAGAAAAATCCACTAAGAAGGTGGCTGCTTGCTCTATGTAAAAGCATTAGATTGGGAAAGCCTTACTTTGTGCTAACAGTGCCATTCTCTTTGACTTCTTTCAGTAACACTTTTCTTGAGTGCTTTTTGTGTTCGTCCCTCCAGATTATATGTGTATATATTCCAAATACAAACCATGTGTCAATAAAATACATCTGTATAACCATTACCTATTAGGCTTTTTAGCCTTTTAAAATGAGAACTGAAATCAAACATCTATTAAGTCATTTAAAATAATAAATAATCTTTAGTTTCTTCAAAGTTATAGAGATAAAGATAAGTTATTTCTAATGGTGGAATGGAAAATATTCATCCTTCTTTGTAGTTACTGGCGGATCTTGAAAACAGCTCCATGTTTGCTGGTAATCTTGAATGTCAAAAGCTGTTGATAGAAGCTATGAAGTATCATCTATTACCTGATAGAAGATCCACAATGCAAAGCCCTCGGACCAGGCCTAGAAAATCAACCGTGGGGGCACTTTATGCTGTGGGAGGAATGGATACTTTGAAAGGTAACAGAAGCACATTATTTAATTTTAATAGTGTCTTCATTCAGAAACAGAAGGTACATTAACAGCATTCTTGAAAATGGTATTAAAGGTATATTTAAATAAGTGCATCTAAAACTAATTTTCACAAACGTAAGACTCTGTGATTTCATTTATCAAATTACATTATAGAACTTTTCATTATAGTTGTATAAATTCTTCACAAGCAATTTTGTATGGAATAAATTTATAAAATTTGGTATTAATTTTCAATATTAAATACTTTCAGAGCAAACTTAATAAAGGTTTATTATAAATAGGACACTTTTGTCCAAATTAGTTTTTGACAGGAACAGAAAAATACCTTCTAGTTTCTTGTAATCAGTTTCCTTAGATTCTCAAAAACAATTTCAAAAGAATTTTGAGGTGCTGATTAAATTCCCTAAATTTCTCATAAGCTGTTTTACATACAATATAGGTATAAATGTTTTTACATTTAATTTTCTACCTTTTTTATTGTTCAGAAGTATCCCTGTAGTCCAAAAGCTTTAACTAAGGAATAGAAGCTGTTATTTTGAATGATGATAAGAAGCACTGCCTATAGAAGTGACAGTTTACTATTGTGATTCTAACTAAAGTCAGTGGTAGTATGCATGATATTTCAGTAAATGAGCAAAAATCAGATTCTTACTATTATACAAAAGATGAAATACCACCGAATTCTAGATGCATAATTATATTCCTTTGAGCTGCCATCATGTAACATTGTGTGAATCAATACTGAATACCCTTTAAAAAGGACTTTTGGCACTTAAGTCATTTGAATTTTAACCTACACACACACCACACACACACATTAATAAAACAAACTGGAAAATATAAAAGTATATAAATTTCACATTAAATTACCATAGGCATGTAAACTGTAATACTGTAATCATGTGTAAACATTCAGTAATAGATTGCAAGATATTTTGCTGTTGTTGTGAAATACTTGTCTGACTGAATATGTTTGTACTACCAGTAGCATAGACTATCCAAAGAAGGTTTTATGGAGATATAAATTAAAATTAATTATTTTATTCTGATTTTTCTATTTGGACCCAGGAGTGATGAAACATTACCCTTTATCATGTCCCAGAGGTTAGAGAATCATCTAGGCTACTTTAGTATTAAATTGAATTCACGGCTTCTGTGCTATGAGATGTGGGAACATAAATATATTATGTTATGCCAATTCAAAATTTTAATAGGAAGCAATTTTAAAAACTGCTCCATGTCACTTTAACAGGTACCACTACAATGGAAAAATATGACCTCAGGACCAACAGCTGGATATATATTGGCACCATGAATGGCCGTAGACTTCAGTTTGGTGTTGCAGTTATTGATAATAAGCTCATTGTTGTAGGAGGAAGAGACGGTTTAAAAACATTGAATACTGTAGAATGTTTTAACCCTGTTGGCAATATCTGGTCTGTAATGCCACCCATGTTAACACATAGACATGGCTTAGGTAAGAACTTAATACTTTTTGCTTCTAAAGAATGCATATTTAGTATTATTTTTGTCCTTTTAAAAATTAAGCCCAGCTCTTCATTGTTAGGATGTAGTCAAATCCTTGTTAAAATGTCTCTAAATCCTCAAAAAGCTTAAACAAATGGTAAAAGCTTTCTTCACATTGGAACTTCATGTTGGAATTTTCTTTATATTGCAGATGGCATATTTGTTAGTCCTGCCTCTGGTCGAACAGTCTCTTAAAGGAGGTCTCTTTTTTTTAATCATTTTATTAGGGGCTCATACAACTCTTATCACAATCCATACACACATCAATTGTGTAAAGCACATTTGTACACTCATTGCCCTCATCATTCTCAAAACATTTGCTTTCCACTTAGGCCCCCGGCATTAGGTCCTCATTTTTCACCTCCCTCCCCGCTCCCCCCTCCCTCGTGAGCCCTTGATAATTTATAAATTGTTATTTTGTCATATCTTGCCCTGTCCGACATCTCCCTTCACCCACTTTTCTGTTGTCCGTCCCCCAGGGAGGAGGTCACATATAGTGTCTTTTAATTGGTTCCCTCTTTCCAACCTACCCTCCCAGTATCGCCACTCACACCACTGGTCCTGAAGGGAATCATCCACCCTGGATTCCCTGTATTTCCAGTTCCTATCTACCAGTGTACATCCTCTGGTCTAGCCAGACTTGCAAGGTAGAATTTGTATCATGATAGTGGGGTAGGAGGAAGCATTTAGGAACTAGAGGAAAGTTGTATTTTTCATCGTTGCTACATCACACCCTGACTGGCTTGTCTCCTCCCCGAGACCCCTGTGCAAAGGGATCTCCAGTGACCTACTAATGGGTTCTCTTTTAAGAGACCATCTGTTAGAAGGATGTAGTATTACGGAACATATAACTATAATCAAGATGTTTTCTTCAAAGCTCAACTTAGAGAAGAGAGCACTTGATGATAAAGAAGCATTGTGGTCTAGTTAGATGAATCTTGTCCTTTCTTGGAAGAGTCAAGTCTACATTTTTGCAAAAGCCTTTGGATGTAGGTCCCAAACAGAGCTACTCAATAAAACTACTTTGATTAAGAGTAACTGTAAGTTAAAATTAAGTCACAGTTTCCCCAAGACATTTTAGAAGCATAAAATGGTACCTTCTAGAGAAGTAGGGAGCTTTGATTCACCTGAATATTTGCAGGTACATTCTTGATAACGTGTCCAAAGTATGTAAGATGAAGCCTTGCCATTCTTGCCTTTAAGGAGCACTGTGGCCGTACTTCTTCCAAGACAGGTCAGTTTGTCCTTTTAGTAGTCCATGGTGCTTTCACTATTCTTCTCAGTAACACAGTCTGAAAAATGAAACTCACTGCCATCGAGCCCATTCCCGCTCATAGTGGCCCTATCAGACAGGGTAAGATTGCCCCTGCGAGCTTCCAAGACTGAACTGTTTACTGGAGTAGAAAGCCTCATATTTCAAGGAGGAGCTGGTGATTTTGAACTGCTGACCTTCAGGATTGCAGCCCAACATGTAACCGCTACACCAGCAGAGCTCTTATACATTACCAGGGCACCAACAAATAGAACTGGTAAATTATTCATGTATACACAGAACCACATAAGTAAGTAACCAATTTCCAAGCAATCAATAGCATGCAAAATTAAGCAATGTATATTCTGTAAGGAATACCTAGTTAAACTTTCAGACTATTTTCATATTTTAGGTGTAACCACACTTGAAGGGCCAATGTATGCCATTGGTGGTCATGATGGTTGGAGTTATTTAAATACTGTAGAAAGATGGGATCCTGAGGGACATCAGTGGAATTATGTGGCCAGTATGTCAACTCCTAGAAGCACAGTTGGTGTTGCTACATTAAATAACAAGTGAGTAAACCTAAATATGCACGTTCTTTGCTTTCAGGGTATGTGGTATAGAACTTCAGTGATGTGATCCATCAATAAATAAAGCATTCTGATTGGCAAGGGTATAGGTGTAATTAATAACAAAATAACTTTCATAGAAACCTACCCTCATTATGATAGAATATGCTTATCCAAAATAAGCATTTGGTTAACATTTTTGTATGCCCTTTCTTCTCAAAGTGTGCTACTGTGATTAGAAACACGTGTGTTATTACCTAAAAGTGATGCAGAAAGATAGAATCTTAGATAACCTTAAAACCTACTGAATCCCAATCTTAATTTTAATAAGATCCTCAAGTGATGTATATGTACCCTAAAGTATAAAACATTTTTGTAGGCAAACAAATTCCAATTATTACCCTTAGGAAATTATTTTTTTTACATTATAACTTATTCTTGCTTTATGAAACTTTTGGCCTGGCATTGTTTGTAATAGAGTTAAGCATTCTGCTCTTCAATACTATCTTCTTTGGACATTTAAGTTTCCCAAATACAAAATCATAACTAATCCTGTCCTTTATGAATCATTCCCTTTTCCTGATCACTTGCCTATGAAATCAAGGTAATATACTGAAACCTGATATTAAAAGATGCTAACACCTTACCCTGTTACTTCTCCCAAGATGGCATCTACATTCTGACTTTGGAGACAGTCACTATCATTTACATGAGTGCTTAAGTGATGATGCTTTCAGACACCACCATGGGTCAGTGTCAGGAGGCATCTTGTGTATCTGTATTGACTATGCTTAAATACAATACCTCACCATATGTGTTCTTGTTAGGTGTCATCAAATCCATTCTGACCCACAGCAAAATGAAACGCTGCCTAGCCCTGCACCATCCTCACAGCTGTTCCCATGATTGACCCCAAGGTTGCAGCCACGACTTCAATCCATCTCCTTGAGGGCCTTCCTCTTTTTCACTGCTCCTCTGTTTTACCAAGCATGACGTCTTTCTCCAGAGACTGATCTCTCCTGACAGCATGTCTAAAATATGGTAGATGAAGTCTTGCCATCCTTCTCTCTAAGGAATACTCTGGCCATACTTTTTCCAAGACACATTTGTTTTTCCTTTTAGCAGTCCATGGTACTTTCAGTACTGTGCTCCAGCACCACAATTCAAATGCATCAATTTTTCTTAGGTTTCCCTCAATCAGTGTCAAATGTTCAAATGCATATGAGGTCATTGAAAATACCATGGCTTGAGTCAGGCTCATCTTAGTCCTCAAAGTAGCATTCTTGTTTTCAATAATCTAAAGATGTCTTGTGCAGCAGATTTACCTAATCCAGCTCATCTTTTGATCTCTTGACTATTGCTTCCATGAACAGTGATTATGGATCCAAGTTAGACAAAATTCTTGACAACTTTAACCTTTTCTCCATTTATCATGATGTTAGTTATTGGTCCAATTGTGAGGATTTTGGTCCTCTTTACGTGGAGATCTGCAATCCTTGATCTTCATAAGCAAGTGCTACAATTCTTCCTTGATTTTCAGCAAGCAGGGTTGTGCTATCTGCATATTACAGGTTGTTAAATAAGCTAAACTCTGATCCTGATGCCACATTCTTCTTCATATCAATAAGCTTTTCTAATTATTTGCTTAGCATCCAAATTGAATAAGTATGGTGAGAGGATACAACCTTGACACAAACCTTTCCTGATTTTAAACCATGCAGTATTCTCATGTTCTGTTTGCAGAGTTGCCTCTTGAGCCATGCTTAGTTCCACATGAGCACAATGAAGTGTTCTGGAATTCCCATTCTTCTGAAGGTTAACCATAGTTTGCTCTGATCCAAACAGGCTAATGCTTTGGCCTAGTCAGTAAAACACAAACAATCATCCTTCACGTATTCTCTCCTTTCAGCCAAGGTCCATCTGACATCAGCAAAGATATCCCTTGCTCACATCCTCTTGTGAATCAGCCTGAACATCTGGCAGCTGCCTGTCAATCATTTTTGCATGATCTTTAGCAAAATTTTATTTGAATGTGATATCAATGATATTGTTTTCTAATTTGAGCCCTGTGTTGGGTCACCTTCCATTGGAATCGGCACAAATATGAATCTCTTCCAGTTAGTTGGCCAAGCAGCTGTCTTCTAAATTACCTGGCATAGGCGAGACGAGTAAGTGCTTCATCAACATGTTGAAACGTTTCAATTATTAATCTGTCAGTTCCTGGAGTCTTGTTTTTGGATAATGTTTTCAGTGTATCTTGAAGTTCTTCCTTCAGCACTGTTGCTTCTTGTTCATATGCCACCTCCTGAAGTGGTGAAATGCTGACTAGTTCTTTTAGGTGCTTCCTGCCTTTCAATATTTTGCTCACATAATCTTTCAAGATTGCAACTCTAGTTTGAATTAGTCTTGATTCCTTTCAGTTTGTATATATTGAGTGTGTTCTTCCCTGTTGGACTTGTAACTTTAGGTCTCTACACATATTATAATATTAGTATTATACTATTTTTTGCTTTGTTTTCTTGAGCTGCCCTTAGAAATTTTCTATTCATTTCTTTGACTTCGTCATCCTACAATTTGTTTTAGCTACCCTATGATTAAGAGCAAGTTTCAGAGCCTCTTCCGAGATCTAATTTGATCTTTTCTTTCTTTCCTGTCTCTCTTTTTAATTTAAATCATTTTATTGGGGGCTCGTACAACTCTTATTGCAATCCATTGTGTCAAGCACATTTGTACATTTGTTGCACTCATCATTCACAAAACATTTGCTTTCCCCTTGAGCCCTTGGTATCAGCTCATTTTTCCCCTCCCTCCCCGTTGACCTCCCCTTCATGAACCCTTGATAATTTATAAATTATTAGTATTTTATCATATCTTACGCTGCCCGACGTCTCTCTTCACCCACTTTACTGTTGTCCATCCCCCAGGGAGGAGGTTAGATGTAGATCCTTGTAATTGGTTCCCCCTTTCTACCCCACCTTCACTCCTCCCTCCCCTATTGCCACTCTCACCACTGGTCCTGAAAGGACCATCCATCCTGGTTTCCCTGTGTTTCCAGTTCCTATCTGCACCAGTGTACATCCTTTGGTCTAGCCAGGTTTGTAAGGTAGAATTAGGGTAATGATAGTGGTGGTGGAGGAAGCATTTAAGAACTGGAGGAAAGTTGTATGTTTCATCGATGCTATACTGCGCTCGGAGTGACTCATCTACTCTCCTCTACCCCTCTGGGGTAGGCCAGTTGCCTACAGATGGGCCTTGGGTCCCCACCCCGCACCCCCCCACACACACATTCATGATGATATGATGGATTTTTGTTCTTTGGTGCTTGATACCTGATCCCTTCGACTCGACGCCTCGTGATCACACAGGCAGGTGTGCTTCTTCCATGTGGGCTATGTTGCTTCTGGGCTAGATGGCCGTTTGTTTACCTTCAAGCCTTTAAGACCCCAGACTTTTTAATGACCTTTGGGTTTTTTTCATGAATGATATTCTTGATGTCCTCCCAGCTCATCAGATCTTTTGTTATTAGACTTTAATGCATCAAATCTGTTATTGAGACATTATCTAAATTCAGGTGGGATAAACTCAAGATTGTATTTTGGCTCTCATGAACTTGTTTTAATTTTCTTCAGCTTTATCCTGAAGTTACATATGAACAATTAATGGTCCATTCCACAGTCAATAGAAGACCTGGTTTTAGCTCCTGATGTTGAACTGCTCCCTTGTCTCTTCCCACAGATGTAGTCAATTTGTATTCTTTGTATTCCATCTGGGGAAGTCCATGGGGATAGTCAACTTTTGTGTTGTTGAAAAAAGGTACTTGCTATGAATACATTGTTGGTTTTCCAAAATTCTATCATGCAATCTCCAACTTTGTTTCAATCATCAAATCCATGTTTTCCGACTACTGTTCCTTCCTCTTCCGTTTCCAGCATTTACATTCCAATTGCCAATAATTATCAGTGCATCTTAATTGCACGGTTGAACAACTTCATACTGAAGCCTAAGGTAAAATTCTTCAATTTCTGCATATCTCGTTTCAGTTATCAGTGCATAAATTTGAATAATACTTATAGTGATTTGATTTCCTTTTATCTGGATAGATATTATCTTATCACAGTCAGCATTGTACATCAAGATCTTGTAGTATCTCTTTTGATGATGAATGTGACACCATTCCTCCTGAGTGTGTCATTCCCTGCATAGTAATCCACATGATTTCCCAATTCAAAATGGCTAATACCAGCCCATTTCAGCTTGCTATATCCCAGACTATCCATCTTTATGCATTTCATTTTATTTTTGACAACTTTCAGTTTTCCTTGATTCACACTTTCCTTGATTCATACATTCCTATTTTCAATTAGTAATTGATGTTTGCAGTTGTTTCTTCTCTTTTTGAGTTGTGCCCTATTAGCAAATGAAGGTTCTGCAGGCTTTACTCAATCCGTGTCATTATTGTCAGCTGTACTTTAAGAAGGTACAGTCATATTTCTCAGTCATATTTTGAGTGCATTCAGACTGGAGGGATTCATCTTCTGGCACTATCTCTGACAGTATTCTTCTGATATTCGTGAAGTTTTCAGTGTGTTCCATAGATTTTCTGTGGGTAATCCTGCTGATGTGGACAACCCATTCTTTCTCTATAGTCTGGTCTTAATAAGAAATCTGTGCTGAAACCTGTTTACTTTGGGGTGACCGCGCTGATATTTGAAATACCAGTGACATACATTTCAGAATCACAGCAACACACAAGCCATCACAGTACAACAACTTGACAGACAAGTTGTGGGACATGTAGTTTAGTATTTATTCATTCAGAATTAAATTTAAAGGTCTACTCATCAAAAGAATTTGCATTTTAAAGTTAAAGGGAGTAGTTTGATAGCAGCCGATATTTGAGGGGAAAATCTTACTTCTACATCTTTTTTATGCATATGAAGTTTATATCTTCTTAGTTGTAAATACTTTTTGCTTAAAAAAAGCATAACAATATGAATTCTAATGCTAGGCAAGTAGTGCTAGCTAAAATTGTAAGAATGGTGAGTTTGGCAAGTGGAACCATTCTATCATCCCTTGTGGGAATGCTTCTTTCCCTGCACTTCATTTGTAATAACATCAAAGGCACTTTGAGTAAGGACAACTTTTATTTCACATGTATATGTATATGTATGTGTATATATATTCACTTCCATCGATTCTTTGTCAACTCATAGCAACCCTGTAGGACAAGGTAGAAATGCCCTTATAAGTTTTTGAGACTGTAACTATTTATGGGAGTTTTCCAAATGTAATATCTTGAAATGGCGAACATCCTTTTGAAGAATAAATTGTGACTCCCTGTCTTTTTCTCCACAGAGTTTTGAATAGCCAACCTTGCAGATTACAACCTAACACATAACCATTAAGCCCCAGGGCTTACTTTTTGGTGTACTCCGGTAACTTTCTATTCACAAACAGTTTAATTGCTACAAAATAAAATAGTTAAACCCCAAACTTACTGCCATCAAGTTGATTCCAACCCATGGTGATCCTGTATAGTGTTTTAAAGGCCATACATTTTTATAGGAACAGATAGCCTCAACTTTCTCCCATGGAGCAACCTGGTGGGTTTGAACCATTTACTGTGTGGTTAGCAGTACAATATTTACACCACAGTACCACCAGGGGTCTTCTGAAGTTATAACTAGAGAATTGGGATACTTTGAGCCTGGTTTTCTCACTTACATCAGTGGTACAAATTGGAAATGTTTTTACCCTTTTTGTGGGTGTGTGTTTCTTCTAGGTTATATGCTATTGGTGGACGCGATGGAAGTTCCTGCCTCCAGTCCGTGGAATGCTTTGACCCTCACACTAACAAATGGACTCCATGTGCTCCAATGTCCAAAAGACGTGGAGGTGTGGGAGTTGGAGCATACAATGGATTCATATATGTTGTAGGGGGTCATGATTCCCCTGCAACTAGTGTGAGCGCCACGCTTTCTAACTATGTGGAACGGTAATATATGTCTATTTATTTATGTATGTGTATATTGAATTTTATTATGAACCAAAAAAATTAATTAGCACAAAGTAGACCTCCATACAAAGGATAATCATTTTATAAGTTAATCTTTTGTAAAATTATGCAATTATTCCTGGCTCAATATGTTTTAGATAAATCCTCTTTGTACTTTAGATCCTGCTTAAGAAGCATATAAAAATTAGATATCTTATTGATTTATATGCAAAGTATAAAATATAAAATGAAATAGAATTCATGAAGGAAAACATGTTATTTCAATATACATCACTCAGCATAGTCACCAAATTGAAATCAAAATAATACTAGGGTTTCTAAATTTAAGTCAGTCCTCAAAAGGAAGAAGATTTAATACCACAAACTGATAAAAATAATTTCCAAAGAGATTTTAATAATGTTTCAAAAATTTTCTATATTACAATAAATATTTTGTTTTCCAAAGGTAATGTCTTGGAATGAAGGACATTCCTTTTGAAGAATAAATTATGGCATGTTTGTTAAACAAAGTCAGTCATATGTTTTTATATTTATTCCTGTCATATTCCCTTCAGAGATATATTTTTTTTCAAGAAATAGTTAAATATTAATGTAAAACAAAGTGACAAATTTACAGTCAGTAAGGTTATGGGAATTCAATAGAGAGATGATTGACTGGTATCCTCATGGAAAGTACTTGGAATAGGTAATATTTGTACATTTTAGGCATAAAAAGTAAAGGAGGAAATGTCAGGACTGGGAATGATCATAAAGGTAAAGAAGGAGAAAATTACATATTTAGGAGCAGAAACTTTCTGAAGAATAAGCTTGATTGAGCAGTTGAAAACACAAGATTGTCTCATGGTATAAAATGTAGAAGTGGAATATTTTCTATTTTATCTTCTTAGTACGGGATAATTATATTTTAGAAATTGGAATATCACAGTGAACGCATTTTGGAGTATATGTATCTAATGATGATATATTGTATAAAATAGAGGATGAAGACACTGAAGGAAAGAAGATCATAAGTGATCCTAATCATAAGTGATAGTTAGCATTCCGTTTTTAATGAGAGATAATATTATCTGTTTTATTTTTATGATAAGTGCATATCTGAGGGATGGTTAGACGGAAATGGGGAGCTAATAACAATTAGTATAAGAATGAAGAAAATGTTCTAAAACTAATCATGGTTAAGATTGTACAATTCTTCTTGATGTTATTGAACTATTCAATTGTATTATATGTGAATATATGCCAATAAAACTGTTAAAAATGAATAAGGGACGGGGATACACAATAAAGAGGGGACTTAAGATTATGGTCAAGAATATATATAATGCTTTGCCTATATTTAATGTGTAATTATATGAATTTTCTTGTTCATTGTTTTTTAAATTTTACTATAATGTCTTAATTTAAAGTTAGGCTTCAAGTATTAGGAAACAATTCTTGCAGTTTATTTTAATGAATGTTACTGAATGAAGTATCTTTGATTCTGCTTACTGAAAAGGTGTTGGTGTAAGGAGTTAACTGAGAAGTAAAGTAGAAAAGAAAAGGAAAAATTCCAGGCTTGTGTAAATGAAAAGAGAACTCTCACAAGGGGAAATGACAGGATAAACTATGGTCATTCTACCTCTAAATTTTACTCAAAGGAAGGCACTTGTTTATCTAACACAGATCAAAATTAAAGACTATATATTCATGTGGTTTAAAATGGGAGCCCTCTGTAAAAGCTTTGAGGAACAAACAATAAAAGAAAAACAAAAGCTTCCTAACCTCCATCCTAATTGAGTGAGGGAATATATTCATCATAATATTAGGCTCCAAAAATATCTTCAATCTTAATACCGATTAAGGAAATGTAAGATAGTTTGTAAAAGAAATAAATTTTCTGTTTGCTTTTGGTGACCTCTGGTGGTTGAACAGAATTTTGCCATATACATATTTATTAGCTAATTTTGGTATTTATTATTTTAATTATTTTGAACAAACATACATATTGTTAACACCTAATATTCTGAATTATAGCACTATTGGATTCACTATTCTTTATTTTTTTCTTAACTCTTTTAAGGTATGATCCAAAAGCTGATGCATGGTCAAGTGTGGCCCCTCTGAATGTACCTCGAGATGCTGTTGCGGTATGCACCCTTGGAGACAGACTTTATGTAGTTGGAGGATACAATGGACATGCCTACTTGAACACTGTTGAGTCATATGATTCACGGAAAAATGAATGGAAAGAGGTAGTCTCATTATGGCTTTAAAATTAGTGTATTTCTGACTTAAATAATATATTTTAAAATGGATATTTAGTTTTGTTAGCTTCTTCCTCTAGGGCAGTGGTTCTCAACTTTCTTAATGCCGTGACCCTTTAATACAGTTTCTCATGTTGTGGTGACCCCCAACCATAAAATTATTTTTGTTGCTACTTCATAGCTGTAAATTTGCTACTGTTACGAATAGGGCGACCCCTGTGAAAGGGTCATTCCTCCCCCAAAGGGGTCGTGGCCCACAGGTTGAAAACTGCTGCTCTTGGGCCTAGCTAGATATATTTCCAATGATATTAAAAATTTTTAGTTTATCATTACCAGGATACATGAATGCTCATATGAAAAAGGACAAAATGCTTTCTTGATTTCATGGAAAGCTTCCCTTTATGGAAAGGAAAGTGATCAAATTCAGTAATTTAAGAACCTTATCTTGGCCAACATTCTATGTGGGTATTAGAACCTGACAACCAAAGAGCAATAGCTTATTTCACATATATCTCTTCTAGTTGGTTGATGCTAAGAAAAGCATTTATTCAAGTCCCTCCATAATAATACAGTGTAAGCTACAAATATCCCTAACTTCCTCAGTCATTCAAGGAGTTTAGTGTACAAGGGACCAGAATTAGACTCTCTCAATAGGACTGGGTATTTAAAAGATGATGTATGAGAAAGGACACTGAAAGTACATCTTGATCATGCTAAAAGCAAACTTTACCCTTGTGACAGTTTTGCTAGAGATGGCCCTGATTTTATTCCAAAATATTGAATGGTATTGTATTGATTTAAATGATGGGTTGTTTAAAAAATGAAGTTTAATTAACTTTCACTCGCTCCATACACAGGCAGAACCACCTAGTTAGAGCCTAACATCACCTTCGCTTTCACTTAAATTCCTCTTTCTATAATTGGCTTCTGTTCTAAAACAATAGGTGCTAATTTAATACACCTGAAAATGAGTTACCAAATCTCTCTTCCAATATTCAAATCTATTAAGACTCAGAATCCCTCAAATTCTACCATGTAAATAGCTCCCTATTTTGTTAATACTCCATGTGAGGCATAACTTGAAGAAACAAATTTTAGCAACTATGGGGTTAAGCCCAATATAAGAATCAATATTTTTAAATGAAATTGTGGGTGTTACTTTTGTGAACATTGCGGACTAGAACTTGCTAGGACACTAGGATTCTATTCTTGACTATTACTACTTCATTGTTTAACCTTAGAAAGAGAAAGTGAGATGCCAGATTATGGGACTATACCTACTATATGCTTCCTTATTTTTGATATTTCCCATAGTTGTCATAATAACATTAAAGTACGAGTATAATCAGTTAGAATTTTTCAAATGAAGAATTTGTTTACTGAAGAGGTGAAACTTATTCAAGTTTCAAGCTCAGGTTTACAGAAGCCTAAAACTCTTGTTGATTTTCCCATTCTTAATTTGGCTGCAGTTTCCAATATCTTTATACAAGATTACTGGTGAATCAGAATAGCCATTTTATGATTAGTTATATTATAGTAAAGATAGAGATTAAACAGAGTTTTTCTTTCTTTTGTTATTTTTGCTTTAGGAAATTCCTCTTAACATTGGAAGAGCTGGTGGATGTCTTACTGTGTTGAAACTGCAATGAATCCGCTTTATGAAGTAAAACCAAATAATTTCATGAAATAGAGTTGGAAGAAGGGAAAAGTGAAAAAACCTATTGTGTTCTGCCGTTCATAATCAAACACAGGAATCTTTGTGTTGTTTTAATATGTAGTTGTAATTGCTCTCATTTGTAAAGCCAAAAAGTTTCTAAGCAGAAATTACAAAAAAGTAACAAATGTATGCATTTTTAATAACTAATAATATAAAGAGCAATCCAGTAGTCTAGGTTTAGCTTTATTACTTAAAATTGTTAAAATGTGTAGTGAAAGTTGATATTTTCACAAGTGTAAAGGGTAATTAATAGTTTGGGGGTAGGAATCTGAGAGGTTAAAAACATTTTTATTTCCACTGAAGGTACTCTATTAGGTGGAATATAACATAATATAAAAGAAAACATCTAAAATCTGAAACACAGTATATTTTAAATATACTTAAATACTAAAATCTGAAATACAGTATATTTTAAATATTATTCCAACATCACCTTAAGTAATACCTCACAGTTTCCAAGGGGAAAGTTTTTACTGCATTAAATTTTTTAAGAAAAAAAAATAGATGGTTATGCTGATCCCAATATGTCAACCTTTACAATAACCATCTTCTAAGACATGTATAAATTTGGTATTCCATAACATGCTCTCTTGTTAGATTTTTACTGGTTATATATTGTTGTAATATTATATGCACAAGCTATACATCAAATATTGAATATCATATTGACAAAAACTGTGAACTCACCTTCTGAATCTCGAGACCACAATTATATGAGTAAAATTCTTCTCAAATATGTCTGTGAGCTGTGCAATTACCTACCATTTGCCAAGCAATTTTTAAATGTATTCAATTCAATATGTTATATGATGGAAACATCAAATTGTGCTGTAGCTTATTTTCATATACCAATACATTTAATTCTGTTCATGTTGTATTTATCTAATAGCACGTTAAGGACATATAACTACAAAAACTCAAAATTAAACAATAAGCAGCATAGTAGAGTAGTATTTAAGCTTTAAATTCTTCTAATTTTTCCATTTAGTAATAGAATGTTTAAGATAAAATGTTAGGGGGGAAATCTATCAAAGTAACATCTTGAATACACATTTTAAAAATTTATGAAATGTATTTAAATTTTGTGCTTTAGAAAGATATCAACATACAAAATCCAGAAATATGCTATAAATTGCTTTTAAAAATTCAGAATAAGTATGTACAAAATATTTGTAATTTGATGGATTAAAATAAATTTCCTCTGGCAATAAAAACTTTGGCTTTAATTTAACAGTATCCAATTCATTCCTCATAAAACTTGCAAGAAGATAGGATAAGAGGAGACAATGAAAAACCAATACTTAGTGGAGAAAAACAAAACATTTCTATTGAATAAGGGACCCTTGTAATATTAAATTAAAATGGCACGGGGAGGAGGTGGGGGGTGAGGGGCCAGCCCCCACCCACTGCTACTATTCACAAGTTCTGTAAGCACAATTGTACAGTTGAGATATATAAGTATTATATTAAAGTCAGCGAGAGCATGAGAGATATTACAATAATGCAGTCAGACACAGTACATGGTATCATTGCTCACCTCAGCCCAGCTTGGTGGTCCATGTGGAGAGAGGGGGAAGGGAAGGAGGGCAAGGGAACAAGGGAGAGGGGGAAGAGAGGGGAGTGACCCGGGAGTGAGCAGCAAGGAGCGATCAGAGTCAGAGAGCTCTATATTGCTGACTCACACCTATATACCTTTTGAGGGCAAGCCAGCCCACTAATTACAGGTAGAGACATACATCACAGGGAGGGGCTGCACTATAGGTTACACAGTAATGAGGGGGTGGTCTCTGGATCTCCATAGGAACCATTATCAGTAGGGTGAAAACTCCGCCTACAGGAGCCTGTCCATTGTCCCCAGAGGCAGAGAGCAGGCCCACCCCTGTGGTGGGATGATACAGCACTCTGACAACTGATTGCCCTAGGAGGGGGGGGGGAAATGCCTACGCATCTGACCTCCCCCCACAGACCCTGACAAGGCTGTCCCTTATTCCCACTCTTATTATTGTGCTGGAAGTCCTAGCCAGGACCATAAAACAATGGCAAGAAACAGAGGTAATGTAATCAGGCAAAGAAGTGAAAACTTTCACTATTTGTGGACAATATAATTTTATATAGAGAAAATCCTAAGGTGTGCACAATAGGATTATTGGAAACAACTGAGCTTAGTAGAGTAACAAGATACAAGATTAACAAGCAAAAATCAATTGGATTCCTATATACCAGTGATGAGAATAACAAGCAAGACATCAAGAAAACAGTATAATTCAAAATATCCACATAAAGGCTGAAATACCTAGGAATAAACCTAAGCAAAAATGAAACAAACAAAAAAACAGACCTGTACAAAGAAAACTACAGAACATTATTACAAGAAACCAGAAAGGACCTACACAAATGGAAGAGTATCCCATGTTCTTGGATCGGGAGACTCTTATTGTGAAAATGTCAATCCTACCTAGAGCAGTTTATAAATTCAATCCAATCCTGATCCACATTCCAGAATTATTTTTTAAAGAAATGGAAAAAATAGTTACTAACTTCATGTAGGGAGGGAAGAAGCCCAAGTTATGAAAAGAACAACTCAAAGAACAAAGGTGGTCTTGCACCAACTGATCTCAAAATCTATTCTAAAGCCACTGTTGGAAAAATAGGCTGGTACTAGTATAATGATAAATAAATGGACCAATGGTTCAGTATGGAAACCCCTGAAATGAAAACATCTGCATACATGACCCAGTAAAACCATTACTGGGCATTCATTATACCCCAAAGAAATAAGAAACATGACTGACATGTTCCTCACAGCACAGTTCTCAACAGCAAGAAGTTGAAAACAGCCTACATTCCCATCAGTAGAAGATTGGATAAAAAACACCGGTATATACACACAATGGAATATAAGATATTCCTAAAAAAATTCCATGAAACACCTCATGACATGGAGGGAACAGGAAGACATGCAGAGTGAAGGTAGTCAATCACAAAGGGACAAATACCGTCTGAGTCTACTGCTATAGGAACAAGCAGCCGGATGGGCACACACTCAGGCTTGCAGAGCATCCAGTCTGCTGCCCAGGGTGCCCAGACAGCTTGGTAGAGGACCTGACCAGTGCCAAGGAAATATACACCATTCTTTCTAGGTCAGCTAGGATCAAGTGGTAAAAGGAAGGGAAGGGGATTTTATCTACTGAGTGGCTGCCAAGCAAAACTATGACAAGTTTCCCCCTGACGGGTAGCCCTATCAGAGGGATGAGCGATGCTGGTAGGACAATCAAGTCAAGTGAGGGGAAAGTTAGCACACACATCTGGGTGAACCCAAATGCATGACTCTGTTAAAAATGGCAGAGGATCAACCTTCAGGTGAGAAGAAGAATGACTGAAAATGCTTTGGGGGACCTTGGAGCGAGAAGGTCCCTTGTGGTATTCACTGAATGGGTCACATTAACACGGGCTATGGGTGCATCCTGGGACCAAGCCAGGTGCCATGGAATACTGGGGCATTGAATCCTGGATCTTCTGGGAGCAAAACATGCTCCAGAAACTGCATCAGTGAGATCTGTTGAGGAAAATCCACTGGGTGAATTGGACCCTACCTCAGACACATTTGTACCCTGAGAACTTAAGACAGAAAATTCATGGTGTTTGAGGAAGCAGAAGATATCTGTACCAAGATAGTTGAACTGTTGGTAAGTGAATAAACATGGTCTTGCTATATCAATAGCCTACATACTGTATTAGCAAATATATTATTCCAGCAAACCTGTGACTGACAGTCTCGGTGAATATTGTAAACTTTCTCTAATTGTATGTGTAAACACCATCAGTCATGAAAGGATTGATGTTGTACAAGTGAATAATTCAAGTACTGCGATATGGAGGTAGCCTCCATGGGCCCAACTCTGAACAGGGATTTAAAATTTAGTACCAGGGGCGAATACAAGACAATTTTAAAAAATTATTTTATTGGGGGCTCATACAATTCTTATCAGTCCATACATCCATCCATTTTGTCAAGCACATATGTACATTTGTTGCCCTCATCATTCTCAAAACATTTGCCTTCTACTTTAGCCCTTAACATCACTCCCCATCCCTCATGAACCCTTCATAATTCATAAATTATTATTATTTTGTCATAAGTTACACTGTCCAACAGTTCCCTCCGCCCTCTTCTCTGCTGTCCATCCCCCAGGGAGGAGTCTATACTTTGATTCTTGTAATTGGTTCCCCCTTTCTACCCCACATTCCCTTCACCCTCCAGGCACTGCCCCTCTCATCACTGGTCCTGAAGGAGTCATCTGTCCTGGATTCCCTGTGTTTCCAGTTGCTACCTGTACAATGTACATCTTCTGGTCTAGCCAGATTTGCAAGGCAGAATTGGGATCACGATAGTGGGGGGGAGGACGCTTTCAAGAACTAGAGGAAAGTTATATGTTTCATCGTTGCTACCCTGCACCCTGATTAGCTCGTCTCCTCCCCACAACCCCTCAGCAAGGGGGCGTTCAGTTGCCTACTGATGGACTCTGAGTCTCCACTCTGCACTCACCCTTTACAATGACATGATTTCTTATTTCTTGATGCCTGACAACCGATCCCTTCGACAGCTCGTGGTCACACACGCTGGTGTGCTTCTTCCATGTGGGCTTTGTTGCTTCTGAGCTGGTTGGCCGCTTGTTTATCTTCAAGCCTTTAAGACCCCAGGCGCTATATCTTTTGATAACCAGGCAACATCAACTCAACTTTCTTCACCACCTTTGCTTATGCACACGTTTGTCTTCAGTGATTGTATCAGTAAAGCGGGCACCCACTGATATGATTTTCAGTTCTTTGATGTCTGATAACTTATCCCTTCTACACCTCGTGGTCAGACAGGCTGGTGTGCTTCTTCCATATGGGCTTTGATGCTTCTCAGCTAGATGGTCGCTTGTTTGTCTTCAAGCCTTTACGACCCCGGACGCTATATCTTTTGATAGCCAGGCACCATCAGCTTTCTTCACCACCTTTGCTTATGTTCACATTTTTCTTCAGCAATCGTTTCGGGGAGGTGTGCATCCTGGAATTCCAATTTAATAGAACAGTCTGTTCTTGCAATGAGTAAGTGCTTGAGTGGAGGCCCAATGTCCATCTGCTGCCTTAATACTAAACCTATAAATATATGCATGTAGATCTGTTTCCCCATACTCTTATATAAATATATTTACATATATACATTCCAGTCTTAAAACCTCTATACATACCCTTTGTCCCCTAGTTCTTTCCTCTAATTCCCTTTACTTTCCTCTTGTCCCACTATCATGCTCAGCCTTCATTTGGGTTTCAGTGATTTCTCTCAGTTACATTGCCCTTGCTGAATCCCTGCCAGGCCTCTCGCACCCTCCTTGCCACTGTTTTTGGATCAGTTGTTGCTCCCCTGTCCCTGGGTTGGTCAACACCACCTCCTTACCCCTGCCTACTCCTCTCCCTTGTCCCCCCAGAACCGTTGGTCCTGTTGTTTTCTCCTCCAGACTATTCATCCAGTCTATCTTATCTAGATAGATCTGTAGCGATCATAATATGCATCAAAACCCAAGCCATAGAAGACAATTTTAATGAAAGATTGTTAGGCCCCATGAAGATGATGGATTAAGCTCTCTTCCTAAATTAATGAGGAGGTTTTGAATGGGAGACAAAGGCAGATTTTTAAAAATCAACATAGATCTAGGAATGGATTTTGGGCTCATACTAAATCCTTGTTCCAATCAAAGAACAAATAGTTCTTACACCATGTCTATGCTTGATACTCCCCCTCAGGAAGGAAACACAGAAGACATGGGTGCTATAGCAAAGTGTGGTGACGAAATTAGATGGTGCCTGGCTATCAGATAAAATTGTGTCTGGAGTCTTAATGGCTTGTTTCCAAACAAGCAGCCATCTAAGTGATACGTCAGCCAAGTCAATGTGGAAGAAGCACACCAACATCAGTCACCAAAAATATTATAAATCAAATAATCCGAAGTCGAAGGAGGCAATAATATCAGAACCTAAAGTGTAAGAATCTGGTTTGCAGAAGACTATGGATGAAAGTGGGTTACATTTGTGGGATTAAATAGGGTTAAAATCCTCCAGTGATTTCCCTCCACACATAACAGGGATTGGAGGAAAGTGGTTACCAAATAGCATTGGAAAGATGACTATAGAATATCAAAATGAGAAACCTGACTTATATGGCTAAAACCTATTGATGCCT